TCCAACTGGCAACAATAAAGATTTTTCGACTTTTTTGCGACCATGTGAAAATTTTTCTTCCTTCTCTGTCTGTTTTTTTTGTGTCATGAATGAACAGTTGATGATGATGATTGAATTGCGATTGTATAGCCGAAATATACTCGAAAAAATTTATAATTCCTTGACTCTGAAGATCGTCTCTTTCTCTCTCTCTCTCTCTCTATCTCTCACTCGAAAAAAATGAGCTCTTATTAGTGCTAAGAAGAATTGAAAAAGTCATCACCACTCTATTCGTGGTAATACAGACGATTTAAGGCATGCTCGAAAGTTTGGCAACCGAGCATTTTTACGACCAACTCTAACGTAACATTGTAAACATAGTCGATTCTCGTCTCGCATGTCACTTGTTTTAAATCTTTTCTTGGTCTGGAGAAAATTGTCTGAAATTCCCACTTTTTTGCCTGACTTAACATCTAATTTTATGCTTACAACTAATTTGCTATTTTGATTAAAAATATATTTAAATCGATGATTAGAGTTTTTTGATCAAACAGTTAGAGAATCTCAATTTTACCAACTTTAATCTGATGCAAACCTTAATTAAAATTATACTTTATCATCATATCTAATTCGGAGAAGCAATACGTATATAGCCATCGCCTACAAGACTTATCAATCATTCACATTGCAAATTCGATGGAACTGATAAGAAAACAGACAGAATTTATTTTCCAAAAAGTGCTGTTTTCGTTTAATTTCTTCTTGGAAATTTTAAATTTTTTCTTGGTACGCAATGAGTTTAGTTCCAAATTTTTTAGATTGCCTTAAGCTCTTCAGAATTTACACAAAGTTTTTTGGAGTTACCATCCATTAAGGCTTCCATAACAACCTCTAATTGGAGGGGAATGAGATTAGCGAATGTTGCTGATAATTTGATTTTCTAGGAATCACAAAAAATATTTGCAGAAGTGTTTTTGTTTCGTCGTGGATATGAAGCAATAAATACAGGTTGAAAAATTGTCTGAATTAATCAGTCTCAACATAAATTGTCTAATTCAATTTCCATACATATCAGACAGCATAGAAAAATAAAACTTTAGTCAAATGACGTCATGTCATCTTTTTGTCATGTTTACGAGATTGAGAAACTTGGATGATAATTTTGAAATTAAACAATCTCGTTTTCTACTATTCTCATTTAGTGTGATTTATTTTCATATGAGGATCACATTGATTTCTTATCGCTATTTGTATTTGAAGCAGTGAACTTGTACTAAGTTTGAAAATTTCAATTGTGTGACGCATTTTCATTAGGTGCAAAAAATATTGTTGATAAAAATTTTGATACGTAATTTCAAGAATTTCGTTATCGTATGATTTTGGTGATTCTCTTAGAAACTGTTTAGTTTATAATAACAATGTCTATTCAAGTGTAAATAATTAAAACTTTAAATCCAATGCTAGCAAACATTTTTGAGTTCTTATTATTCGAACTTCGAATTTTTGAGGTTCTTATTTTTCGAAAATCAAATCTTCGAAGTTCTTATTTTCAAAAAAATTCGTTGTGAATTATTATTTTTCGAGTAATGTGTAATTTTAGTTAACATTCCTACTAGTTTTTATGATTAAGATAATCACTATGATGAAATTGGATTCCTTAAATGTTTATGCTTTAAAAAATAGCTAGTTTAAAAAAAATAAAAAGTAACGGACTTTCTTATTTTGAAATTTTAAAAAAATACCGCGCGAAAATTTTGAAAATCTTTTTTTTGTAACGGACTCTGTTCTCTTTGCTAACATTGGCTTTAAATTTACTGTCAGCAAACTTTACTGATCGAAATTCCGTAAAAAACTAGATTTTTGTATGAAAAGGGGAAAAACAACTTTAAAGGGGATTAACAACTATTGATTATTGCTTAGATAATTCAAATTTTAAAATGACTGTTAATGATAAAAAGATCAATTTTTAAGTTTATTTCCTAATGAAAGAAATCAAATCTCAGTAAATCTTTAGAAACAACTTCAAGGGTCGGAAAGAAATCCAGGCAATTCATAATCTATTTTTAAATGCATCCGATATTTTTAAGTGAAATTGCATTATTTTTGGAGCTAAATGAAATTAAAGTAGCATCTTACACAATCAAAAATGCATAAAGCCAGAGGAGTAGAATGGTTAGAAGAGCAGAAAAAAAGAATAAAGTAATTCTATGTGAGAATTCTAAATTTAAAGAAAATGAAACAAGTTTTCTTTTTTTCGTGAATAAGTCTTATGCTGAATATCGAAATCATTTTTGTTGGTTCTATGCCATACCTTAAAGATTCTAAATAAATATTAATATTGACAATTATCGTTCGCAATACATTTTTATGTGATTTTTGCTAAAAATTCATTTCGAAGCATTCTTAAAGGGTTGCCTACATGTCTGAAATCCAAAAGACAGTGCAGGAAGTGAAAAGTATTACTTTTTTAAGTGAAAATTGAAATGAAACAAAAGCGAGTGAAAGAAAAAGTTTTCACGCTTCCGCATTTATTAAAGACGAACTCAAGCGAGCGTCGAAGCAAAAAATTGGAAGCAATTTCTTCCTTAATAAGTTGCATTATAAAAAAAAACAGACAATCAAATGAAAATGAAGTGTTTTTATTTCGTAAAAACAAAAATAAACGTTGGAGAAGATGAAAGTTATGAGCCGAGTTTTCCTCTCTCAAATCTCACTGCTGTGCACAGCTTACAAATAAGAAGTAGAAACACGTGCGCGTGTGTGTTTGCGGAGCACATTCATCAGTAAAATTTTTATTATCAAATATTTTTTGTTAGAGCTTGGCTAGATATCGAAAAGAGTGACCGTAAATTATGCACATTTGTTCATTGGATTATGTCCAAGATAATATATAAATCAATTTAATACAGGCATTGCTCACATCAGATTTCGACTATCATACAAAAAAAAATAAAAATTATTTTACACACATTTAAGCTCAAATTGTCGCTTCTATACGATGTGAGGAAATTAAGTAATGATTGATAGGCTTGTGTGAAACTAAAATGCAATTGCACATGTATGCGTTGCATTATGTGAAGCTTAAAATATACTTGAATATTTTTTTTTTATTCACATCCACTCGATAATGAACGACAAAAAAAAATAACACACGGAGGAGAGAGAGACAATGCAACTCGGAGATACTAAAAATGCGACACTTTATGTGTATTTTTATCAGGCAAAAACAGGTGAAGTGGAACGCGATAAGGAATGTCTTGAATTAAATAAAAATATGTTGCGACGACTGTTTTGAAATATTGTGAAACAGCAAATTCAATAAATTAAGCTTATCAAAAAAAAAACGAAAACAAAATTGCAGAAATGGGTTTGTTGAACTTTCAAGCTTCAATCTACATTTTTTTTATTTTATTTCTTCCTTTCATTTCGGTAAAATGAGTTAATTAAAATAATGTAGATGCGCGAGAAAATTTAAACGCAAATAGAAGTTAATTATGTAGTCATGAATCATGTTCTGTGTCAAAGAGAATAAGTAAGTTGGCTGTAACTTTATTGCTTTTGGGGATGGTGTCTCAGTAGGGGTGCATGCCCTACCTTTTCTGTTTAAGCAAGTCTGAATACTTTTCTTTAAGGTGTTTACTGTTTTTGAACTGAGCAGTTACACCTTAGCAATGAAATGTAAAGAATGAAGGAAGAACTTCTTATTCTTCTCAACCTGATTTCTCCAGGAATTGAATCGAAATATTTATGACCCAAATAAAACAGCATATGCCCTCAATTCGACCTACAAACCGCAATTCTTTTTTGCCAGTCAAATTTACAATAAATTGATTATTTTATCGGAATTCCAGCACCGCGAACAATTTTATATTTGTATCTATTTCTCAATAAATAACTGGTATTTTGGCATAACAAATAGTCAAGATTCTTGATCCAAACTTCCCACGAGACACTCCTAATTAACATTACCACTGTAATTATCTGTAAAGACTCTACGTAATCATTTAGGAATGGAAGAAGCTTGACCTTTCATCACAAAATAATATAATTTGCCTAGGTTTTCTCACCTACATAGGAAGATGATATAATTACGATATTGGTTATTCTTTAATTCTAAAATAAAAGAAGAAAAGAGAAGCGATGGATCGTAGGATGGCAGGAGGCAACTATATTCTCTTCTGTCATGACCTTTTTCAATGTAATGATAAAGTAAAAAAAAAAGGTTTGTTGCTAAAAATAGCAATTTTATTCTCATCATTCATGCTTGTAATGTAAGCATAAATATAGACGTTTTACCACCCACGAAAGGGTCTCTCCTGTTCACATCCTTGCAGTTTTACTGCTATGGGTTCAATATTATGAGAACGATAAGCTAATTTTGTTCTTGCTGGCTGTAAGTGTTGACAGTTTATAGAAATAATAAATATTGAATAAACCTGCCAGAAGATTTCTTGTTGCGGCACTGACAATGGCACAATGATATTCTTTCAATTTTTAATGGAGTGTCATTCATTATATTGTGACAAGAAGAATAACAACAGTATTAATAAGTTGTCAGCTGGGCTTATTTGAATGTGATGTAACGATAAAATCTGGTTTTAAATCTTCTCAACAAACTTGTGTCTAATGAGAATGGAACTTATAGTCTTATGAATTTCAGTCGTAAGTCGTCACTAAACTATCGGGGGTTGCTTGAAAACTCGACAGAATACAAATTTAAACTATTAGGAAACTCCCAAAAACTAAACGTATATCCTAGCAATCTCTAATCGCATACCAACAAAAAAGAATCGATAAAAGCCACTGAACTAGTCATAAGCTTGTCATATCAAATTTATCTAATTGTAAAGCACATAAAAGGAATAAAAAAAGCCGTAATTAATCAATGCTGAGTTAACCTTTTCAATAACAATTACATGGTCTCCCCCATGGATGAGTGAAAGTCATCATCGAATTTTATAATATTATGCATGCATATAGAGTGAAATATGTTCACATAAAATGTCGTTTTTATGGCTCACCTTGTGTGAATTTTAATAAAATTTGAATTTTGATTTCTTCTCTTCCTTTCGAAATGAAGAAGTGGAAAAATTGTTTTTATTTCTTTATAGTTGTAAGCTATTTGCAATTGAAATTTCCGCTTCTTTTATTGTATTGTATTCCAGTGTCTACCAGTTTCTCTCTATATTGACGAACTTTCTTGCGTAATCCATCGTTTTTTGATTGCACTTTGTGTATGTTTACTTTGTTTTATTTTTTATTCACAAATAATTTTGTTTATTCACTTATAAATTATGTTACAGTACACTATGTTGGGTATATATCAAGTTCTCATGATTTCACTCACAATAATTGTAAATCTATCAACTAATAATTAACATTTTCTTCTTCTTTTTCTATAAGTTATGATGATCATAGCATATCATGTCTAATTCTATTGCAATTGATTGTTTTTAAGGCTTCCTATTCCTCAATTATGTATGGAACAAATAATTTTCACTTTACAAAATTATGTTGGAAGTAAACAATCAGCATAATATGTTGAAAAGCTTCAACACTTCCACTTTCTGCTTTCAACACGATTAACTGTAGTTCAAATGTTGAGTTTTGCGTTATTTCTCTCTGATTATATGCTCAGAGTATGTATACGTACATTGAAGATGAAGAAAAAAAAAATATTTTATATCCGTTAAATGCTCAGGAAAAAAATTATTTTTCTACTTGATGGTTTATGTTTGTTCTCATTCAGTACACATGAATACACAACATACACACACTCGAGACATAAAGATACACTTCACATATAATAATTTAATTCACTTGCTTCCTACAGTAAAGTCACTCTCTGTTAATTAGTTTGTCTTGTTTTGTTTGGGTTTTTGAATCTGAAATTGAAACAAAAAGTATAGAAAATAAATATTAATGAAAAGTAATCACTAAAGTTCATATAATGTGCGCGGCAGAAACAAAAAGTGAAGAAAAATGAGTTCAAAAGTGATAATGGCAGCATTTAGACATTAACACGAATTCAAAGCTTCATTTTTATTCACTTGTTGACCCCAAAAAAAGAATTGTGAGTGAAATAATATACCAAGTATTGTGTACTCATAGTGCAAAATGTTATTATTCGTGACAGTAGGAAGGGTTTTTATTTATTCAATACAAATTTTTCCTCTATTTTCCGTCTCTCACTCACTCACTCGTTTTATATAAAAAAGAAATATGGAAATGTGCTGTTGAATCCGCTTTGTCTATTTTTCTTTCATTTCCACTAAACAAAAAGTCAAATGAATGAATTTTGTTCTGTTCAAGTTATAAACAATCTATTAACGAACGTGAGCTTTAGAATATTTATAGCTGGATGTATCTAAACCTTCTAATGACATGTTCAAATAGAGCTTATCACACTTTATAAGTGGGTTATTACTGATTTGGATTGAGATTCAGGTGAAATAAGATGATTTAACAGTTAAGTGCCTGCTGGTCGAATAGGTAAGGCGCTTGACTCAAATTTGGGATGGTAACTCGAAGGTCGTCGGTTCGATTCCAGCCATCTCCAAATTTGTTCTTTTTCGGAAGTTTAAATACTTCGACTGCTTAATGTACGAGATCAAGCCATAATTGGGCATTTGGGCAACGTTGGATTAAGGAACGGGTCAGGAACTTGAAGTGTAGTGGGAGAAATAGGAACGAGAGCCTCAAGATTACCTTATAATGGAATATTGTTAGAACGGACCTGAAAAGTATCACGTCACACTCAAAGAAGATCAAAACGAGAGCCTTAGTTTATTTGAAACCTAGATATGAAGATTAGAAGTTTGATCCTACATAATATTAATTCATATGTATACAAATACAAAAGTTTAAAATGTGAATTATTACCGCACAGTATGTCGTCAATAAATGCAATAAAGTGCAATTAAAATGAAACAATTTTCTTAAGAGATCCAGTAATTGAGTTTTAACAGTGATTCTAACTGGAAATCAAATGAAAACTCTTGAAATTGTAGCAAAAGCTTCTTCTGAACTCCTTAAACTCAATATTTTCAATTCACAGATCAATAATTGACAAAATAGCGCAAAAGAACCATTTCCTAAAAGTTCCTTCACCTTGCTTTGACATTTTTAACTTGCATGCCTCAAATAATTCACCTTATTTATTATGACCCGATTTTAACCATGCCTGGAATCTCATGTTTTGATTTTTCTTTCCTCTCTGTTTGTTTTATTATTTCAAAATATTTTATGCATGGAAAATTGTTGTTTTTGCAATTTTGCATGGTTGAATAATGCGGCAGCTTGAATACAGAACCATTAAAGTCTTTTTAGAAACTCAAAATAAGAATTATTCGCAAATTTAACTTGAACTTCTAGACTGAATATAGGTCATGTTTGTTGTGTGCTTATCATGCAATTAAATCGACTATATCGGCATTTACACTCATTGAAGGTGAGTAAAGCTTAAAAAAGTAATATGTATAGACAAAGATAAGCTCATAAAGACATTAGTCTCTGCCTCCCATTCATCATGTCATGATCTCATTATATGGTAAATAATGTTTGTGTATACATCTCCTTTCAAACCTTTTATGACCATAAAACAATTTTTTAGCATTCTGTTTTTGAGGTCTGATTATTTTGTATTTACTTTGACCTAAATTTTTCCATGTCAATGTGTGCATGTATACACATAATAAATAAATGTGTTTATTGCCTGTAATTATGCTTTCTTTGGGTTCTCTTCTCTCGTGATGCCTCACAGATGGACTACAAAAGCGACGATGAAATTGAAAAATTGGGACATTTGATTGAATATTCATATACGTAATCGATTTCACTTTCCTATGGATATATACTCAGTTTTATACATTAAGTCGATTGATGCTTATTTTTGTGGTTTTTTTTCGAGTCAGGCTCTTTCTTTTGAAAAATGAATGAATGTGTGGGGGTTGTGCATAAGTGATGTTTCTTAAAAATGAAATTTCTAGAATCATATACAATACTTTTAAAGCAACAAGCTTCCTAATCCCTTAAAAATCAGACATTATTTGTGGACGACCCCGAAAATTCATCGTGTAGGACCTTTGTTATGTTGTTTTTGTTGCATACTTCATTAATGACCTCGCAGGTAAGCTATTCTCACGAAACTATTTAGGTAAAGCAGTCGAAAAACAAAATTTAATTAGATAATCCAGTCACGATTCCAGTCACTTCTTCAGGATTTTAAAATTCAAAACTGTGTTGAGTGCTTCAAAGATTAAAAGTGATAATAAAAACGCCCAATGCATTAATGCAAAAATATTTCGTAAATGATGCTTATTCACAACAAGACAGAATCTCTCTTATTCTCTCATTGCTGCTTCTAATACACAAGCACTTTGCTGCAAACTATTAAATACTAATTTTTTTCAACGTTATTAAATTCACATTTAATTTGATTTTTCTCTCTTTTACTATTTTGTGTGTATATAGTCACATACAGCCACAGACACACACTGAGAAAACTATTAAGTTTTTATACAAGTTTTATATTGGAAGCCTCAAGCATGACCTTCATTATAAAAATAAAAATTGCAAAACGCGGTAAAAAAGCAAGAAAAAAAGTTTTATTTTGCATGTGTATTATGTACTCCGCTGTGCTTCATGTGACTGTATTGACTTAGAGCTCACAACTCGGGAGAGAAATAAGAAAAAATATCAAGTAATAAGAAAAAACTTCGTAAAGTCTTTCAACGCTACGAAAAAAATCTTATTTTTTGGTGATTCAAGTAGCAAATTTTATCATATTTTAAGCATGAAATTCTCACACTATTGAGATTAAAGCTTGGTAGGGGTGTATCTAGGATTTTTTAAAAATCCGAAATGATTCTGGATCTCGAGAAGTAGATGATCAGGTACCCAGAAGACTCTCCTGCTAACACTCTCTGAATTTCAAGAACAAAATATCAGAAGGAAAAGATCACAAATGCAGAATTGCTGAAAATGACTTTAGTCGCTCATGTAATTTATGACACAATTTTTCGCAAGATTGCAAATAAATTTCTCAATCGTGTATGGAAATTACGTCGTCGTTTGTTTTCGTGTGTGTCTACATATAATAGCTGCAACATAATTGATGATATCATACGGATTTTTTTTAATAGATTTATTCAAGAGTTTGTTTGTGGTACTCCAGGGATTAGAGTTGTGAGTATTTACGGTCGATTTTATCAGATTTAGTTCAAAATACATAAGAATGTTATCGATGGTTATGAGCCATTTTACGTGAGGGATAATAATCCAAAAAAAATGAGGTCAAGTGATTCATTCATAACCTCAATAAATGGCTTGAAATATTAATGGCATTTCTGCTTCAAAACCAAGATAAATGCTTAAAAATTTGAAAAATTAATGACCATTGAGCATTCTTATACTTCAACATGAACCTGAGCTGACATTATTAATCACAAAAGTCTCATCTTTATTACAGAAATCATTCACTTCAGGAACGAAAAGAAAAACACAAAAAAACAAGCTCACGTCAAGGCAAACAATTTTTTGTTTCGTATATCCAATTCACAGGTCATTCTACTCTCATTTGAATTCGTTAGGAACATGGGAAAAATCGATACTTGATTGTTATGTGAATAGAATGTTTTTGTTTTGTATGATTATTCCAAGAATGGGGATAAGTTTGTGTTAATCACGTCATAATACAGAAATTCATTCCTTATCGTTGTGTACTAACTTACTTATTTACTAGAAAATATTCACTAAATTACGTGTTAACAATAAAAATAAAATAATTGTTTGAATTAAAAATACGGAAAAAGTAATGGGTTCATTCACTAATGACGTATGTTAATAATTTGGAGTGTTAAACCTTTTTGTAATGTCAGAGCAGTGTAGAGTCTGAGGGTTCTAAGACATATGTATGTGAATCTATCAAAGTAAGAGCGAAGACTTTATGGCTTAGTGGTAGCAGACCGACAACTTTAACCATCTCTTTTATGAGGACACGGGTTCGATTCTCACCATTGGTCGATCCATTATCCATTATTATTAATTAATGGTCGATTCATTATTATTAAACCTCATCTAACCTTTGTCACGCTGCACGTAACTTGTGGACAACGCCTTAAACTGCTTAAATACAAACGCAAGTTAATGATAATGACTTATTACTTTTATTTTCTCTTCAAATTAGCTAATTACCATTTTTTTAAAAAGGAGATTTTACATTGAGAATTACACATGTATGTGCTTGATGTTCATTGAACTATCTTCAATCGACACTTTGTCCATTTGTAAATCACTTACAAAAGTCATTTACTTCTGGTATGAGATAAGAGCTATCTTGGAAATATCTGAACTAAAAAAACCTACGGAGAATACGTATGCGGAAGTAAATTCAAAATCAAAATTAACAAGCTGCTTTTTTTAAACTCGAAAATTGTGATAACGAAGGCTAGTGGGATAAAAAAAAAATGGAAATAGACATCGTAAATTTAGTAATTGATGATGTTTTGTGGATCATTAAAAAAGTTTTTAAAGCTTTGCATTGATTGGAATTGAAGTAGGAATTTTCATGAGGTTTTATTTCGAGGGAATTATATTATACATGCACAAATAATGTTCAGGAACGAAGAAGAGTGCTTCTAAATTACAAATAAGGATGCTATTGACTTTTTTGAAGATGATTAATGCTGAAGTTGGCTGGATTATACAAAAATAGACTATGAATGTCAATTTTAAAGCATACGACACTAAGATTCGGTCTTTTGGACGTCATCCATGACCCTCTGCAAAATAAGACATTCCCAATTCATAAAGAGTTTCAAACTGTCTTAAAGTAGATTTTTCCTTGATTTTATCAACCTGCATGTCTCCTATGCAACTGTCATTG